CGCAAGAACAAAACAAATTGCACCTAACAATTAATTTTGTTTCCACACAGCAAGTGTAAAAATTAAATTACTTGCCATCACAGCTTTTATACCTTACGGAGAGGTTGCTTTCTCTGAGTGACAGAGCTTGCAAATTTAAATTGAAATAATTCAATTAGACTGTAGGGATATAATATAAGTATTGTACAGATTTCAGACAGAGAATATCATCCTTATTAATGAGATTCCAAGTTGGAGAGAGAGAGAGTTGATTTGTTTTAGCCTGAAATTGTAAAATAAACTGTATTTAGGTACACAACAATATTTTAAATTGTACACATTTTTTAGAACATAATCTAATTCTTTTTGACATTAGGGAAATATGGAGGCAGAGAATAAATTCTACCAGAAAATAAAACTTTTTTTAGGATATACTGTATAACTATTTAACAGATGTAATGGGTTTTTTTTTTAGGAGAGATAGTTTAGGATTCAGGGAGTTTGTTATATTTTAGCCAGAAATAATCTATCAGAGTATTATTTTTCTTACACATAATCTATAAATCATACCAATTTCCTGCACAGAACATAAAGAGTGCTAATCAAAGTCAATTCAAGAGGAAGAGAGCAGGCAGTCTTCATTAGTAAATTCAAAACGACATTTTACTCTAATTGGAACAAAGGAGAAAATATTTGAGGAATTATCTGCACGTTTTTCATTCCAATAGTTATAATTCAGATTTTAGCAGACTAAACACTAACAAACAATAATGGGGAAAAGGAAAGAAAGAGTATCTATTTCCATCATCCATTGTTGACATCAGATATCATAAGATACACATCCAAAAAGTATCATAGAGTGACGTAGTTATTCCAGGTTTACAATTCACTGTACAATAAGTACAGCAAAGTCAATAAATTCCATATCTGAACATTTTTCAAAGCATTGGTTTTTATGTAAGTTGAGGAACAGCATGAGAAAACATAGCGGTTGATTTACTAAAGACAAATAGATTGTGCAAGTGCAGTTGATCCATAGCTTTGTAAATCAGGGAAGACTTCACTTTAACCAATCACATACAGTGAAAAAAACTGCATTTTTGCTTGCACATGATTGGATGGTGTAAGTCAGCAGAGCTCCCCCTCATTTAATAAGCTCTGGAGCAAGTGGAATTGCAGAGTGCAACTGCACTTGCAAAAGTGCACAGTCTATTTGCCTTTAGTTAATCAACTGGCCACTACAGTATTTAAACAGCCCCAAAAATAGAACAGTTTTGTCTGTAAAAGATGCTTTGTAAAAATTAGGTTTCAGGTATTAATAAAGACAAAATACTCAGCATGAAAATTCTTGCAGAAACGAGGATCAACCCTATGTTTTGTGCTATTGGCACAATGCTGTTCTGCAACCATTACATAGCTGTGCAAAATAAAACACTGGGTTTTGGTTATTGTTGGTGCCCAAACTTGGCAGCCCCACAGAAAAATTCCTGCAGAGCACAAGGTGGACACTTATTATTCACCATATCTGCAATTATTACACAGCTGTGAAAAAAATTGGGCTTTTCAGTGTTAGTGGTGCCCGAACAATGAAACCCCACAGAAAAATTCCTGATGAACACAGGATCACCATGCTCTAACAAATATCCACTGTATCGCTTACTGGTACACAGCTGCAAAAAATTAGGTTTTGGGTGTCGGTGGTGCACAAACACCATAACCCCATAGAAAAACTCCTGCAGAGCACAGGAAGAAGCCTGCTTTAGCAAACATTCATTGTATTTGCAACTGTTACACAGCTTTAAAATGGGTTTTAGGTGTTGGTGGCACCCACACACACATATACAATCATTTCAGCACAGGATGGACCCTTTTAAACAAAATTTACAGAGTTTTCAACCATGAACAAGCTGATAAAAAATATGGGTGCCACATTAATAGCACCTGTGGTCTGTTTTTGACAGTAATGGTAACAGACCTACAACAGTGGCAGGTAAAGGAAATTGCTAATAGTGTCTTAGGGTGCTCATAGAGAACAGACATGGCAATGGTGACACCTTGTGGCCTGCAATGATTAAAAAGAGAAGCTTTAGATGCAACAAAAAAAAGGCAAAAAAAATTGGAGGGTGGCAGGATTTCCCCAGATTGCTCTCCCTAAAAGCACCATTAGCTGTGCTACACTAAACTCCCAAGACACTGACAAAGGGCTGCTGGGAAAGCAGCATTTTATAGTGTGTAAACTGCAATTCCAGCCAAAACTATCATTGGCTAAAGTCAAAGCCTTTAGCCATTGATGGCTTTGGCAATGCATTATAAGATGTCTGTCAAAGCAACTCCTGCCGATCACCCCCCAAAAGTCTGGGATTCAACCGAACATCCAAACAGCAAATGTTTAGACTGAACTTTGGTTTGAACCAAATACTCAACATGTCTCTATTTACTTTTGGCTGTTTTTCCATGGTAAATTTACATTACATTTTTTTTCACACCATGTCTGTTTGAATAAAAAATTGGCCACAATTTATTCCCACACAAGAAAATCCAGTGGGAGTGAACTTATTTAAAAAATTGCCTTGAGAAATACTCCCAAGATTATAAGTCCCATTTTAATCTCCCAGTCAACAAATGGAAAGTATAAATATATGCATTCTATTACAGAATATTTTGACTGGAATAAGGAATCATTTCTATTGTTTATTTATACAATATATTGCAAGGACATTTGTTTCTGAATAAGAATTCTGCAATTCTTTAAAATTCTGACAGAACAGATCTTGCTTTTCAAGGTAAAAAATAAACCACCTCCAAAATCAGTGAGCTGACATTAAAAAAAAACTAAATGAAGTGCTATGCATGCTATTTTTTATGTTCACATTTTACTTTTCATTAATAAAAAGTATCTCTTAAGTATATTTTTCGTACATGTGCACCAGCTCAGATATATTCCCTTTACCTAAGGCTGACAACTGTATAATTCTGAATATGTTCATGTAAAGTACCTGTTTTCAGCAAGGAAAATTCTAATCCAGGTAAACAAGCATTATTATAGTATGATTTGATTATCTGCACCAAGTATTTTATTTGTAAGGTCAGTGAAGGAGGGGGATTCCAGGTGATAATTATTCTCCAGTTTGTTTTTTTTATTAATTTTGTTTTATCAGTTTTAAATCTGTAATTCCTTGTATGGTACATATGCACAGATTTGAGGTTTTTCCCAGGAAAAAACGATTTACATACTAGATTATTAAAATACTATATTTTTAAATGTATAGATTGTCTATTCAAGTAAAAGAACCTGTAAATGGCACAGTTGCACTCTCCCTTGCTAAACATTTTTTGCCCTTAAATTTTTTAGAACACAGAATTTCTTGGGACACAGTACAAGGTCTTTAGCATCTTGGAACTCTACTTACATTTCGAATGGCCCATGTCTTGAAATTCCACTGATTTATTGCTCTACAACAACTGCAAGTATTCAAGTCTTCTTGGCAACTAAATACCTGCTCCTCTGCTCTTCTGCTCCTCTTGCCATAAGCAATGGTTCCTTGTATGGGGTGTACAAGCCAATAAAAGGAACCATTGCATATGTTGGGAGGATAAGGTATTCAATGCACCAGATGGGTTCAAATTCTTGCTGTGCATGGCATAAAGTGAAGCATCAGCATTTCAAGACATGGACTGCTGGATTTATAAGTATACAGTAGATGAACTTCTTTACAGGTTTGGCCTTTTGGTGAAAGGGTCACCTTAACAAAATCACCCATACTATCAGCAAAGTTATCATGTTTCCTTCATATATTGAGCTTATATTTAAATAGACTGAGTGTTGAGGAATTTTTGTAACATTCATTTGCTGTTAATTGTCTACCATCACTTTATGGTTGTGTTGTATTTTTGGATGGGTACTTACCAATTGGGGTTCATTATGTTAACAAGTTTTATGTTAGAAAATCGGTGGCTATGATTGTTTACAGTGCTGTGATTTTTTTATGATGTTATTAAATATATATATTTTATTCTAGTCTCTGTAAAAGAAGATCTAAGACCCTGAGGAAGCGGTTTTCCGCAAAAGGCATCGGCCACATAAGAATAGGATCTTAGGAACAGATATATGGTTATACTAAAACAGATATAATATTCACTCATTTTTATGATTTAAAGTCTTTTATGATGATTGTCTGTGATATATGTATATGGAAATAATAAAATATGTTTTTTATTTACTGATACTCTTTTTTGTGTTATACCTTGGGAGGTACACTTAGAGTCCCAATTTCATATTGCTGTGGTTATATTCATATTATAAGGATGGTACTTCCGGAGGTAAAAATTACCCCATATCCATCCTCCACATATGCTCTATGAATATAGTAACTCTTTCATACATTACCAAAAATGTTAAAAAGTCTTTATGTAGACTTTAATTTTGCTTTTGTGTGAGTGAATCTGTCCTGGTTTTCCTGCAACTATGGATAAAAATTGGTAAAAATTTTTTTTCTAAATGAATCATAGTTCTCCCTTAATTTTAGAGCAGTGGCTTCACTCATAGTTGAATTTGAAAGGTTCAGTTTCACAGCCCTGTAACTAGCATGCATTCCAGGAGTCACAGAAAATCGACTGCAATCCTCTATTAACTACAATTATTATTATAATACAGGATTTACAGTATATACTGCAAACAACATGAGAGCAGACAGTACAGTTACAATACAATTCAATATAGGAGGAATCAGAGGGCCCTGCTCCTTAGAGCTTGCAATCTAAAGCGGAGGGTCAAGTGATACAAAAGGTAATAATTTTGGGAAATGAGCTGACAGAGAAAGTGAAAATACAGTGGTTAGGTGCAGGTGGGAAAGGCTTCTCTGAAGAGAAGAGTTTTCAGGGATCACCTAAAAGTGGACAGAGTAGGGATAGTCGGGTAGATTGGGGTAGGGAGTTCTATTGGGTGGCAATGCTAAAATGAAAACATTAATAAACATACAAAAAAACAAAAATCATTATTGATGTTTTCAATTAAAGGTCTAATGGATCGAAGAAATGGGACTCTCTCAACCTTCTTCATTATTGTTGGCATATCAGACCTTGCAGAATTGCAGTTTCCAATATTCCTTTTAGTTCTATTTATGTATTTCCTTACCCTTGGTGGTAATATAGCCATTCTTCTACTGATTTGCTTTGACCGCCATCTTCACACTCCCATGTACTTCTTTTTGGCCAACCTTTCCATTTTGGATATTAGTTCTTCTACAATCACTCTCCATAAAATACTTCTAACTTTTGTATCAGGAGATAACACTATTTCTCTTAAAGTCTGTTTAGCACAAATATATGTTTTTCTGTCCTTAACTTGTGATGAGTTGGTGATTTTGACTGCAATGAGTTATGATCGATATGTAGCTGTATGCAACCCTTTCCGTTACAATGTAATTACGAACCAAGGAATCTGTGCACTTCTAATTACTGTATGCTGGATGTGGGGATTTTTGATAAGTCTGGAAACATTTATAGAACTAACCCGACTAACATGCTTTCAGTCAAACAAAATCAATCACTTCTTCTGTGATGTTGTGCCTGTGATGAAGATATCCTGCAATGATACTTCATTTTTGGAGATTTACATTCTCATTGTGGGCCTTTTTGTTGTAGCTGTAATCCCATTTCTCCTGACTCTCATTTCTTATGTTTTCATTATTGTTTCCATAATGAAGATCCGTACTAATATTGGCAGACGTAAAGCCTTTTACACTTGCTCTTCCCACCTCACAGTTGTCATCCTTCTCTATGCTACTCTTATCTTTCAATACCTAAGGCTAAATTCGAGAGACAACTTAGAGTCTAATAAATTTTTCTCCTTCTTTAACACAGTTGCTGTACCCATACTGAATCCACTGATCTACAGCTTGAAAAAATAAAGATGTGAAGGCAGCTTTCAGGAAGGTTAGGTGTTGGATGTAGGCAAAGGGTAAAAGATGCACTAAGCAAAACTAAACTACAAATTTTCTAGGCCCATTCTTTCTAGTTTAGCATAACATGAAAATAGGCGATTCTTCGTTCCCCCTAATCTGTATATTATATCTAACTGGTTATTGGTTCACCACTTCTACAGGTTGCCCATGCTCAAACTGTCAAAGCTGAAAGAATGCACCTTTTGTGCATGAATGGTGCATAGTCCTACTATTCTTTTCTTCCTGCTTTGTAATTTTATGTAGAATTATTGCATGCTGTAAATTACTGAATAAAAAACTTACTAGATATTAAATTAAACTAACATAAATTAAACCAAATATGTAGGCTTTAAAAAAAACTTAAGTATCCTAACCAAATATGCTGGAGAAGTATTTGTGCAGTCAAAATATTCTGTCTCATTAACCACTTGCCCTCCTGAGGATTTAACCCCCTTCCTGACCAGGCCAATTTTTGCGTTACGGCGCTGCATTAACTGACAATTGCGCGGTCATGCAATGCTACACCCAAATTAAACTTGTGTCCTTTTTTCCCACAAATAGAGCTTTTTTTGGTGGTATTTGATTGCCTTTGCATTTTTTTTTTTTTTGCGTTAAAAAAAAAAAAGACTGACAATTTTGAGAAAAAAAACCAATCTTTTTTACTTTTTGCTATTAACCTCCCTGGCGGTATTCCCGAGTGTAGCTCGGGGTAACATTTCAGTACCAAAAGCGGTAACCCCGAGCTACACTCGGGAATACCATGCGGCGCTGCTCCGGCATGTGTTCTTCACTTACCTTACCCTGCGCTCCCACGATGTGTCCCCTGCAGCGTCCCCGGCCATCTCCTCCGGCCGATGCCGGCATCCGGCTTCTGTGTCCTGTCCCTGTGACGTCGGGACGTACGGCGCCGCCGCCGCCTCCGCCGGCGGGAAATTTAAAAATTTTAAAAAATGTCATTTTTTTTTTTTTACATTTTACATAGTAAAACATTGCTGTCTCAACCAATTTCACATACATATTGTCCCTAGTGCTTTGTCCTGCGCCCTGCCTGCATTTTGTCTGTTCTTTCTGCCTGGAAACTGAGAAATGTCCATGGCGTCCAAAAAGTGTCCCTTTAGGCCAGCTAGAGAACAGCGATAGTAAATCAGAACTACTTGCAGAATTGAGTGATAATGATTTGTGGGGAAATTCGTCATCAGACACTGAAAACGATTTTGCGACTGAGCTCAGCAATGTGCCAAATTGGCGCTCTATTTCACATTTCAGTGTTTTTGGTTTGATTATATTATTGAATTAAATTTTTTATTATTTTTATATTATTTTTATGATTATTTATTAAATTATAATTTATGATTTTGTGTTTCAAATTTTATCATACCCGGGATGTTTACTAGACTCTTGTTCGGACAGATTTCAGTGAGTTTTTCCTAAAAATTACAGCCTACAATAAAAAAAATACATATTTCCATGCAAAAAATGGTACCGCTTTCAGCACCAAAAATCTGAAATAATCATACCGCCAGGGAGGTTAAGCATGTCCAGTAAAAAATTTTAAAAATCAAATTTCGTCATACATTTAGCCCAAAATGTATTTTGCGACATGTCTTTGCTGAAAAATAAATCCCAATACATGTAAACTAATTGGTTTACTTGAAATTTATAGCGTTTACAAATGGCGGTGTATATATACTGGAATTTATTATTATTTTTTTTTTTACTAGTAATGGCAGCGATCGCGACTTATAGCAGGACTGCGGTGGGCATTCTGACACTGGGGGAGCTGACTTGGTGTCACTAACATCCCCAGTGACACTAATACAGTGATCAGTGCTAATAAAAAGCACTGACACTGTACTAATGACACTGGGCAGAAGGGGTTAACATGTTAAGCGATCAAAGAGTTAACTGTGTGCTGTGTGCTGTTTTACATTGTGTGACTGTGTTTGTGCTTCAGTGTAAGCACACTGCTTTGAATGGCTGTGCTATGCACAGCCATTAAAAGCAGTGTGCAGGAGCTGACTGGGGAGAGAACTGTTTTGTTTACAAACAGTCCTCCCCCCATCAGAGATGCTCGGCAATGGCGCTGTGGGTAGGGTGTACTTGTGCCTCATGCGCGCCCCCCTACCGGAAATGCAAAATCCATGTATGTATTTATATATATATTATATATATATATATATGTATATATATATGTGTGTGTGTGTGTGTGTGTGTGCGTGTCCGCGCCTCCCTGTAGCAATACTTCTGCTATAGGGTGGATGGGAAGCTAATAAGATGAAATGAATCTGAAATTCTGTTTGGCCATTTAAATTTTGACAACTTGTTATAATAAAAGTGTATCTAAATATAGGAACAAGTTTTTTTTATTAGATTGCAGCTTACAGTCCTTAGATGTGGTGACTGCAATACTTTTCATTTATCATCTACCTTCCCTCAGTTTTCATCTGGTGATCCTCTAATTAGAAGCATCTTTGTTACCCTTGGACAGGAAGTGTTTTAGGGGTACAACATAAAATATGGGGGATGCATTCTACAGCTCACAAAAAATAGCTGGGAAGGCTAAATTTCTGTCAGAATCTACAAGAATTTTCTATTCTTGCAGAAAATATTCTTAACCTGAAAAAGAAAACTAATGCAGCAACCAGATGTAAAGCATCCTTTAAAATAAGACTAAACATTGAAACATTTGAAATTTTATTTATTTGCATTACAATGGATATTGACATGAAATTTTGATCATATCATTAACTAGACCATTTAAAATGAAAAATCATTAAAATTTCCAAATAATAGTTGTATCATAGCTAGGCTGTTTTGGTTACATGCAACATGTGATCAGTGGCCTTAACCCTTTATATGTCCAGCCAGGTGCTGGACTACAGAAACATGGAGAAGGAGAAATTTCCCTTTTTACAATCAGTTTGCTTTCACTTTCTACTAAGATACTGATGTTATGCTGCACCATTTTCCTCTGGTCAGCAAGAGGAGAGCTAAAGCCAAGCAAGCCTATAGACTTCTATGCAGAGCGCTGAGAATTCTGGGAGTTGTAGTTTTTTGGTATGGCAGCCATATAATGTCACTCAAAGACTCTTTAGACCACAAGTCCCATAGACACTGTGCAGAAGGAGGAAATTTCTTCCTCTTGGCACTGAGGAAATAGAGAGAGACAGCTCCTGCACTGCTGCCACATGGAGAATGGAGCCTCCACTAGCCCTCTGCTTCCCACCGTTGATCTCTGGGGGCTCTCGGGGGAGACTGAGGGGGCCCATGTCTACAGTGAACATCCACAGCAGCATCCTGGGAAGTGGTGAGAGGGCTATCTGTCCATTATTGACACTTCTAACCAGGGGCGGACTGACAACTCATGGGGCCCCCGGGCAATAGGGGATCATGGGGCCCCTGTGTCCTCGTCCACACTTAAACCACACCCAAAAAAGCCTATGAAAAGTACCAAGGAGATCTCATGGGACCCCCTACTGACCCTGGACCCCCGGGCAGTGCCCAAGTTCCCAAATGGTCAGTCTGCCCCTGCTTCTATCAGAGACTGAGCCACTGAGAGCTGGACACCAAGTACACCCAACTTACACCACACCTATATTAACCCCTACTGCTTTTCTACCAAACTTATACTGCACCCATACCAAACCTATATTGCAGTTATACCAAACTGTCCTGGCATTTGACCCACATCTACACTGCACCTGTACCTCACATGTACTGCATCTTTACTACAACTACACTGCATAATGGTTTACTAAAACTGTCATTAACTGTCACATCTTAAAGGGCCCCAAAGATACTGTTTATGCTGATCTGGATGCCAAGTGTCATCTTATGCCTAGACCTTACTACTAATCACTCTGTATGCTAAGTTGTGTTATTACATTTGTTAATCCATTCCCATGCTTTTCATTATTACCTACTATAATATCAAGTGACAATATATTAGGTTTGCCTTTACTAACTGGTTTGGTGCCTGTTTCTTGGACATGGTTACTATTACTATTAGTACTGGTTACCATGTACCATTTTCAGTGATTTTCTGTAATATTGCATGCTTTGTACACTCAACCTAGTGTGTCAGAGGGGCTGAAGTTTTTATGGAGTTCGAGGCAAAGAACAGAGTGCAGGAGTCAGTAGTATGTAAAGCACAGAGTGCAGGGTCATTAGTACATAAGTCAAATAGGCAGGGGTGAGTAGCATGTAAAGTACAAAGTGTAGGGATCAGGAGTATGCTTTGCACAAGTGCAGGGATCATTGTTATGCAATGTACAGAGTACAGGGTCAGGAGTGTGTGTACTTCCCTTGAACCCTATCTACCACATCAGAAATCTCCAACCCCCTCAAAAACACACCCCTGTCAGCAAACATTTCCCACCCAGGAAAACTCCCCTTCAACATTTTCTGTGAAATGTATCCAGTTCCCAAGCAATAATTGCCCCTGGAGCACAAATATACCCCTAGAACAAACATCCATCTGCCCTCTGCCAAACACAAATCTCACTCCCCAGCACCAACATCCTCACTCCCCAGCACAGAAATCCCCACTACTTAGCACTGATATTCTCACTCGCTATAACTGAAATCCCAACTCTCCAGCACAGAAATTACCCCCTAACACCAAAATCCCCATACCTCCAGCAATCCCCTGCCCAGCAGTTACTAGACCAGTGGTGGGCAACCTTTTTTTTCAACTGAGCCAAATCTCGCCAAAACCATGATTGAAATTTATTTTGAGAGCCACATTTTTAAAACTGAAAATACATAGGATGGTACACTGTTTTTTAGTTTCAATAAGTTTTTTTATAGTAATTCATCCCCAATATAGTAATTCATCCCCCATATAGTAATTCATCCCCCATAGTAATTCATCCCCCATATAGTAATTCATCCCCCATATAGTAATTCATCCCCCATAGTAATTCATCCCCCTATAGTAATTCATCCCCCATAGTAATTCATCCCCCATAGTAATTCATCCCTTATATAGTAATTCATCCCCCATAGTAATTCATCCCCCATATAGTAATTAATCCCCCATATAGTAATTCATCCCCCATAGTAATTCATCCCCCATATAGTAATTCATCCCCCCTATAGTAATTCATCCCCCATAGTAATTCATCCCCCATAGTAATTCATCCCCCATATAGTAATTCATCCCCCATATAGTATTTCATCCCCCATATAGTATTTCATCCCCCATAGTAATTCATCCCCCATAGTAATTCATCCCCCATATAGTAATTCATCCCCCATATAGTAATTCATCCCCCCTATAGTAAGTCATCCCCCATATAGTAATTCATCCCCCCTATAGTAATTCATCCCCCATATTAATTCATCCCTCATATAGTAGTAGTAAGTAAGTAGCAAGTAGTAAGCCAAGTCCCCCCTGTGTCAATTCACTTACCTTTGCTCCGCGCGTTCCTCTCGCCGTGTTCCCGCGCCGTTCTGGTCTTCAGGGCGGACTGTGAGAGGAGCCTAGCTCCTCTCATGTTCGTCACGCTGCCCCGCCTACACACATCCTGACAGCCAATCACTGGCTATCAGGATGTGAGTGGCAGCGAGACTGGCCAATCATTGCATTTGAGCGCGCTGCCCTGGCTGTTTTTTTTTTGGATCACGCTGCAGAGTCCCTGCCGCCCGAGAGGAGGGAGGGGAGCGGGCGCCCGGCACACAAGAGCCGCATTAAAGCGTGTAAAGAGCCGCATGTGGCTTGCGAGCCGCGGCTTGCCGACCACTGTGCTAGACCTTATGCAGAATGGTGCCTGGGAAGCATCTCCACAGGTTTTCCATATGACACATCACAATGGGTTCTGCACTGCTGATCTGATTTGAGGTTTGATGGGGAGCAGGGTATTTTTTGTATGTTATGTGGCAGTACCTATGTAACAGCCGTTTCCATGTTCCACAGTTGTGCAGAAACTCTTGCATAGCAGAAAAGTGCAGAGTGTTTCTGATCTAGAGCATAGAGATGGAGACTTAGGGCAAGTGCCCTGCCAGTGCATGGTGCTAGCAATACCCATGTTTATGCGGTGAATCCCAATATCAGATGTGAGGCATACATTATCTCACACATAATGCACAGCATACTTTTTCATGTTCACAAATGCTTGTGCAGAATGTTGTATGAAAGTTTTCCAGTCACAGATCATCTGCTCACTCCTAAACTGTCAAATTGCAATAGTGATACCCAATTAACTGTACTTCCACTGAATAATATGTTTTCATCAGCTTAAGCATTCACCAGAAATGCATTTCTGAAGATCTTAAAATGCTTGTTCTTGGGTGTTTTAGAATGATTCAGTTAGAAGAAGAAAGAACAACATGAGTTGGTTGCTGTTAACATTGAAGAGTTCCTGGAGAGCAGGTGACCAACAGTCTGTAACACAAGAATTTAAAGACCTTCAAAGATGTGGGTCTTATGTTTCCATTGAGGGCTTAAGCTGCAGGTCATATACTATATCTATACTTGAAAGAACAGTATACCTTATATTCAAAGAAAAAAAAACTTTTTTTTTATTTTTATTTTACAATTTAGGGGGACATGGATCATTGGAATGTAAAATACAGATAGCAGGGGCCAAGAGGATGTAATGAAAAAAAGTGAAGAGTTTAGTAGTATGTAACATACAGAGTGTAGAGGTTAGAAAGTATGTAGTGCAAAAAGTGCAGGGGTCATTAGAATGTAACATAGAACATACAGGGTCAGGAGTATGTATACATCACCTGAACCTCCTATAGGAAAACCTTTATTACCACATCAGAAATCTTCCCCCCCCCCCCCCACCCATCCACCAACAACCCTCCTCACCTCCATCAGCGGAAATCTTCCACCCACCAAGTAACCTCCCCCTAACCCTGTTCTGCAAAATGTATCCACCACCCAAGCAAAAATCTCCCAAGTCACTTCCTTACTGAGAACTCTCCCCCTCTCCTTGGTCTTAAAAACTATATGTCACTTTCTGTAAATAAAATGTGTACATTTCCAGCTTGATTGTACAGGTTGTGTCTTGGCACGGCTAGAGGGAAAAATCATATAAGCTTTACAGAACTGAAGTTCACAGGCTGCCTCTGTAGATGGAAAAAGGAGTGAATATCAGGGAGATAAGACACTATCCTTGTAAGTTTAAATCTTTTGTGTCCCCCTGGCAGCAGAGTTTGTCCTGTCACCTCTCCTCTTTTTCTTTTCTCTCTCCCTAAATATGTTTTACTTATCTATACCTGCAAAAGGAGGCAACATAAAGTGATAAGGGCTTAATTTTCAGACTAAATTCCACTTTAAGGTAGCCTATATTGTCATGGTTTCTTTCATTTTGGTCACTTTTCTTGGTAACTGACTACCAATCTAATCCTGTTTTCTATTATACAAGTAGGCAACAAAGTATATGAATCATACCCTAAATCTACCACTATCTAAAGTCTAAATTTTTGCCAAGGGTTTTATCACTTTCCCCCTCTATCCACAACTAATACAAATATTTTAAAAAGTTTAACAGAAGAAGTTACTGAAATGTATTTTTATAGTGTTAAAAAATTATCAAGTATTGTAAATCATTGTCTTGTTTAATGTGAAACTTTCTGCTCTACTGGGTTTTGAGCCCTTTGAGAAAAACACCCAAGATGCTATGTGAGTACAAAATCTTTGTTTCGAAAGTAACAGCTTTAAATAAAAAAAGAAACGCTGCCACATCTTTGACTGAAGATTTTTCTTTATTTCTTTTACTTTTTCAGAAAGCCAAGGTCATTTCAAGCTTTACTAAATTTACAATATGTATGTTGTTAGGACTTTTTTCATGTTACATATAACCTCTACACAGCTCAGATTTTTCCATATAATGCTAAGAACTGTTTTTAAATCAGTTAACAAGGATGTTAAAAAACATATTGCACTTGAATGTGGTCACTACATGCATGCCAGTATGATCAGTTGATTACTTTCTGTGTAAAACTGAATTATTTTTTCTATAAAATTAGAATTCTACCCTTAGGGTTCAGTATTGTTATTTCCATAATTCAGCCAAATACAAACTTGCAGATCAGATGAATATGAATATAACAACATATTTTAACATTATTGGAGTTTCTGATTATCCTGTGTTGCAACTTCCAATTTTTTTCTCTAGTCCTGACCATGTACCTTCTCATCCTTGGTGGTAACATGACCATTTTTCTATTGGTATGTCTGGATCCTTGTTTACATACTCCAATGTACTTCTTTCTGGCCAATTTGTCCATCATTGATATTTGCTGTTCAACCATCCCTTTACATAAAGTCATTATAGCCTTTATATCAGCCAACAATACTATTTCTCTTAATGGCTGTGTAGTACAGATTGTATTATTTTTATGCCTAATATGTGATGAGTTGCTGATTTTAACAGCGATGAGCTATGATCGGTATGTAGCTATCTGCGTTCCATTACGTTATCATCAAATAATGAATTGTAAGGTCTGTGGACTTTTAGCCACAATGTGTTGGGCTTGTGGTTTCTTAGAAGGCATACCAACTCTTATTGAATTACTCAAGCTAAAGTGTTTCATTTCCAATAAAATCAACCACTTCTTCTGTGACATTATACCTTTTATGAAGCTATCTTGCAACAACACTTCTGTTCTGCAGCTCTATATACTAATGATGGGTAGTTTTGTATCTGGTTTTCTTCCATTTGCTTTGATGTTCACCTCTTATGTTTTCATAATTTCCACTATTCTGAAGATTCGGTCCAGTGGTGGCCGACGTAAAGCCTTCTATACATGTTCCTCTCATCTCATTGTTGTTGCCCTACTCTATACCTCCGTTGTCTTCCAGTACCTGAGACCAAACTCATTAATTAATTTAAGCTTCACAAAATTTTCTTCTTTGCTCAATACAGCAGCAGTCCCAGTTCTGAACCCATTAATTTACAGTTTAAAAAACAAAGATGTAAAGATTGCCTTACAAAGGAAAAGGAAATGCATAGCTCTGTCAAAAGTTTAAAATGATACTATGATACGGGGCAGCACATTGGCTAAATGGTTACCACTTCTGCCTGGCAGAACTAGGGTCGTTGGTTCGTATCCCAACCACAGCACCTGGAGCCTGGAGCTTGCATGTTCTCCCTATGCCTGCATGGGTTTCCTCTGGGTACTCCAGTTTCCTCCCACACTCCAAATACATGCTGGTAGGTTAATTGGATCCTGTCTAAATTGACCCTAGTATGTATGAACGTGAGTTAGGTACCTTAGATTGTACACCGCTTGAGGGTTAGGGACTGTTGTGAATGTAATATATATATGTACTATAAATAACAAAAATAAATAATACTAATGTTTATTGTAATGTGTGATACTTAAGGTATATGTGAATACAATTACTTTAGCATGTTACAGTAATTTTATGTGACTTAAATATTTTTCAAATTTAAACTTCCATTAAAACAATAACGAGCGATTCTGCCATAAAGGTTGTTCTGAAGGCACTTTCTTTTACAGGGTGATTGTGCGCTATCCCTGTCTCCCAAATTGTTCTCCTGTGTCGTCACCAAGTCAAATGCCCTCCCAGTGGAATTTAGAAGCTGCATGGTTGACTGCTGTCACCATCAAGAAACCTGCCTGCAAAATTATGTGCTGCAGTCACTGGAGTGCATGTATATAGAACATAGGAGGTGACTGCAAAATGGCTGCAGGAAATGAGCAGTATTGATATACAAGAAAGGATAAAAAAGGCCATTGTTTAAGACATGCAGTGTTTTAGCAAACTAAAGCGTTCGTTTTCTAAACTGGAGAGTGCAAAATCTGCTGAAACTGTGCATGGTATGGGACTTGCTTGCAGAGCACTTTGCCCCCATGTTCATGAGGACATGGGCCTCTTTCCCACAACCCTGGCCTTGTGGTTGTGGGGGTCTGCAGGTAGAGGACTTATTGTAATCTGAAATCCTCCATTAAAATAAGGGGGCCCCTAGATTCTGGGTACCCCTATGTGAATGAGTAAGGGGTACATAATACCCCTACTTATTCACAATAAAAAAAAAAAAATCAATGGTAAATTAACACACAAACACTTTTTGTCAACTCCCTAACACCCTCCCTTCCTCCTTGTTGGAAGCTGTTACATCTAGCAGTGGTAATATTACCAGTGCTAAATGTTTCACTTCACACTGCAGCTGGAGGTTTATTTGTCCGCTCATCACAACACACTGTTTGCACAAGATTCTCCATAAACTGCACTCAGTGCAGACGTCTCCCTCATTTTATTTTCATTGCTGGCTGAATGTTTTTAGCTTATAAACTCTAATGGTCAAATATTCTTAAGCTATATTTCTCTTAGGATCGAAAGTTGAGGGTTGTTACAATCGCCCAGTGAATGGCAACAAGGAAACTATTACACACATATTACAAACATTACTGGACTTATTTGATATGCTTGCACAAATGTTCAGACATTTGAGGAGGTAATCTTTTATAAATAGATCCCTATATTAATGTGGAATGAGTGTTTGTAGATCAAAATAAACTAAGACTCTAGAAACAGGGAGATGAGTATGATTTTTTTTTTTTGCCATTTCAGAAAAAACATAAAGCTAACATTCCAATACTTACATACTGTAAAATCAAAATTGTGAAATTAAAGAAAGCACTGTTCTCTGTTGCATTCCTGAGAATTTTTTTTTATTTAATCTTCAATCACTTTTATATAATATCATACATAGATAAGCTGCAACATTTAGTAGGCTAAAATAAAAAAAATAAATAAAATAATATACATGTAAGAAGAAACCTAAAATGTAAAGTGATGATAAAGCTATAATTTTTTAATTAAAATAAAATAATATTAATAATAAAATTAAAAAGATTAACATAGTATACTTACCTGCTCTGCTCAAATGGTATTGTGTCAAGCACCCCGAACTTTCTCTTCTGATGCTGTCCACTCTGCTTCGAGTGCCCCCATAGCAAGCTTCTTGGGGAAAGCTCCCAAGCCAGGCTGTGTGTGTACATAGACGCAAAGTGTGGTTCAGTCCTGCCTCCTGCTTCCTCCTTGTGGGTATTGACCTGCTCCCGCTGCTCTCAGTAAAGCTCAAAAATGCAGGAAGAGAGGAGATTGGGGCTTCTGATAGGAAGAAAAAGAGGAAGGCTCCTGTAAGTGCAGTATTGAGTAAATTTATTTATTAAACAATGGATAAATTGTCTGAAGAGGTCTGAAGGAGGAGCCTATTGAGCATGCTCCGAAATGCATTACTGCCCCCTTCACCTCCTACATCTGACTCTGCTCTGCTAGCTTCATTTTGGACCATTTCCCAGGGGTCGCCTAAGACCATCGGAAAACACATATTTCCGATGGTCTTAGGAACCGAGACACCGCTCCTCTCTCCGGCGATGTGTTGGCGGGATGATACGCTGCTCCTGTCACCTGGCCACACCTCCGGGATCACTCAGCAGCTCCGCCTCCTCGCCGCTGATTGGCCACCGGAACTGTAGCTCAGGAGAGGCACACAGGCGGCCAATCACCGGCGAGGAGGTGGAGCTTGGAGAGGAGGAGCCGAGCGGCAGCGCGCGTACATCAAAGAAGATCGAGGGAGCTGCCGGAGCGAGTGAAGAGGAGAGCGGCCAGAGAAGGAAGACAGCTGACAGGTAAGTGAGAGAGCGAGCCCAGGCTGTCACTAATACCAATGATGGGGCACTATTCCTCCCCCCACTGACACCAACGATGGGGCACTATTCCTCCCCCCACTGACACCAACGATGGGGCACTATTCCTCCCCCCACTGACACCAACGATGGGACACTATTTCCCCCCCCACTGACACCAACGATGGGACACTATTTCCCCCCCCTGACCCCAATGATGGGGCACTATTCTCCCCTCCACCACACTGACATCAATGATGGGGCACTATTCCTCCCACTGACACCAATGATGGGGCACTATTCCCCCCCACTGACACCAACGATGGGACACTATTTCCCCCCCCCCCTGACCCCAATGATGGGGCACTATTCTCCCCTCCACCACACTGACATCAATGATGGGGCACTATTCCTCCCACTGACACCAATGATGGGGCACTATTCCTCCCCCACTGACACCAACGATGGGACACTATTCCCCCCCCCCCCGACCCCAATGATGGGGCACTATTCTCCCCTCCACCACACTGACATCAATGATGGGGCACTATTCCTCCCACTGACACCAATGATGGGACACTATTCCTCCCACTGACACCAATGATGGGGCACTATTCCTCCCACTGACACCAATGATGGGGCACTATTCCTCCCACTGACACCAATGATGTGGCACTATTCCTCCCACTGACACCATGATGGGGCACTACTCCCCCCACTGACACCAGTGATGGGGCACTACTCCCCCCACTGACACCAGTGATGGAGCACTATTCCTCCCACTGACACCAATGATGGGGCACTACTCCCCCCACTGACACCAATGATGGGGCACTACTCCCCCCACTGACACCAACGATGGGGCACTACTCCTCCCACCGACACCAATGATGGGGCACTACTCCTCCCACCGACACCAATGATGGGGCACTACTCCTCCCACCGACACCAGTGATGGGGCACTACTCCCCCCACCGACACCAGTGATGGGGCACTACTCCCCCCACTGACACCAATGATGGGGCACTACTCCCCCCACTGACACCAATGATGGGGCACTACTCCCCCCACTGACACCAATGATGGGGCACTATTCCTCCCACTGACACCAATGATGGGGCACTATTCCTCCCACTGACACCAACGATGGGGCACTATTCCTCCCACTGACACCAATGATGGGGCACTATTCCTCCCACTGACACCAACGATGGGGCACTATTCCTCCCACTGACACCAACGATGGGGCACTATTCCTCCCACTGATACCAACGATGGGGCACTATTCCTCCCACTGACACCAACGATGGGGCACTATTCCTCCCACTGACACCAACGATGGGGCACTATTCCTCCCACTGATACCAACGATGGGGCACTATTCCTCCCACTGACACCAGTGATGGGGCACTATTCCTCCCACTGACACCAGTGATGGGGCACTATTCCTCCCACTGATACCAACGATGGGGCACTATTCATCCCACTGACATCAGTGATGGGGCACTACTCCTTCCACTGACACCAATGATGTGGCACTACTCCTCCCACTGCAAAATTACAGTTATGAAGTAGCAACAAAAATAATTTTATGGTTGGGGGTCACCACAACATGAGGAACTGTATTAAGGGGTCGCGGCATTAGAAAGGTTGAGAACCACTGACTTAGAGGCACCTTCCTTTCTTTTTCTTGTTACTGCATTAGAGTCTTGCTTCCACTCTAAGAAGAGCTGCCTCAGTGTTACTATCCCATCCCATCCATCCATCCATCCATCCATCCCTGATATACTGTACATCTGGCATCTTTATCCTACAGCTACAGAGGTTGGGCTCCAACAAGTGAGCCCTATATATATACATTTTCGTGCTTCTGGTAGGAACAGCACTGGATCAAGAGTGTGTCAGGCAAGTGTTAGAGAAAAGGGCGAATGCACACATATTACCCTAGGTTCATACCTAAGCGTTTTCCGCAGCATTTGCAGAAATGTACTACAGTCCATTTAACATGGGACACATTCATATCTCAGCGTTTTCACCTGGTGTGTTTTTTGGAAGGGGTCAGGGACTTTTTTGAACGCAAAAAATTGCATTTTTGGTTCTATAGACTTCAATGGAAACACTGCAGAAAAGCATGTAGTGCATTTTTGCTGCATTTTTGCCGCGTTTCTGATGCATCTTGTATTTTAAATCTGCCTAGCAACAAAAGAAATTTGTAAAAAAATGCAAAACGCATCAAAAACGCGTCAAAAACACAAGTGCAAAAATGCAAAACACAATGCAGAAAACGCAAACTGCATAGGTGTGAACCTAGCCTTTAAAAACCCTTTTTCCTTTAGAACCACTTTAAGATGAGGCCATCTGTAATATTAC